TTTTCAAAATGCTGACACGCTGAGCTCAAATGGTTCGCCATCACTGATCTAAACAGTAAAATAGTTTAAATAAAATAATGAAAAGAGGAATGAAACCTATAATTACATAATAAAGAACATGAACAAACTACAGTCGAACTTGGAAAAGGACCAAAGACGCTTAAGTGAAAATAATTGAAATGGATTTCCAGTGAGTAGGTTAATCACAGAGTAGAAACACACTGCAAGTAATATGTAGCTGGAACAAACATGGAGCAGCATTAAGAAACTTGGAAGCACAACACATTTCAAGCAAGAAAAATAAAATAAATTCATACTGAGACACACCACGGCAACAGCACAATAACCAAAGGAAATGTCTTAGGTACAAGCAGAGAGAAAAGTCAGATTAACTCCAAAGACCAGTGAGTAGCAACACAATTCCCCTTAGCAACAAAAGGGGGCAGAAAATAATGAAATAATGTTTTGCAACTAAGTTATAATTACCCAACCCCTGGACTGTTATATAATTATTCAAGAAAATAATCAAAGTAAAGACATTTTTAGACAAAGACCGAGGGAATTCATCATTCAAAGGACGTCCCTGAAGTATCCACTCAAGAACATATTTCAGTAAAAAGAAAACCATCTGGAAGAGAAGGGAGATACCGAAGTAGCAATGCAGATGAACTGGTAGCATGTTCCAGGTCTGTGCCGGGATTGCTAATATAAGTTAAAACCTATTGGAGGAAGTTAAATACAAAGCAGACCCAAATTACAAGACAAAAACTTAGAATTCGATCATTGGGAAAATCTATCCAGATACAAACCATCAAATTTACTTGATTTTACGGGTGAGTTTTGCAACCCTCCCAGAAACAAATACATTTATATAAAAGGTATTTTGTATACATCTCAGGGCTTCAAGACACGTGAAAGAATTCTACAAAAAACAAATAAATAAAACATCCCATTAGTGACAAATAATAGTGTAATTGTTAAAGTTGATATAAAAAGTAACATTTCGGTGTGAAATCGTATTTTATAATAATAATAATATGCTATTATTTGAAAAGGTACAAAACGATTCCTGTGGTAGAGCACAGCGATAAAATTCTAAAGAAAGCACCTGACTTGGTCCTTGGAAAGAGCCAGAAGCAGCGGAGCTGTCCTGCAGACAGAAAGAGGGGGCATGGCCAGCCCGAGAGGGAGGCTGGGCAGGAGGGTCCGCAGGAAGCAGCGTGTGGCCTGCCCACAGGAACACCAGGCTTCAAAGTGAGATGTGGGTCAAATAATAGGGGAGACCATGAGCTTCCTCTCACCAACCAGCTGGCGAGCTCAGGAAAACCAAATCTGACAAAGAGAAACAGGTAAAGGACAAGGATCGTTCTTTTGTTTTCTTCACAGATCAATGTCTGGGTAAGTCAGGCAGGTGTTATCTAAGCAAACTGGTTTCATATTTCAAATTCAGGACAGCAGGGAGCCCAGAGGAGAAACCATCACGGACCAAATTGTTTTGTCATTCCTCAAAATAATAATACAAGTTTATCTGATTTTTAAGACAACAGGATGGAAGGTAGTAGAAAATGCTGCATCCTAAGGACAAAGGAAGTGAAAAGGGCAGGATGGGGCCTGACACCTGGGAGAGAAGTGAGGGGCATGGGGGCCCCCCCGAGGACAAGGAAGGGGCCTCTGGCTGGGAGCCGGAGCCCTGAGCCCTGGGGGGGGGGGAGCGGGGGAGGATGCAGGCCTGTCCCACTCAGGACGGATCCACTGCCCACTGCACAGGAGACAGCAGAGGGGCCAGCCTCACACTCCAGACAATGTTTCTCTTCTGAATTCTTGGCCCCTCTTTTCTGGGCTGTAGACTCCACCCCGTGTATAGGGCTGACCAAGCAAAGTGTGCATTTTTACTGTTAAAAAACCCAACTTACTCAAAAGACAAACATTTAAAATGAAAGAACACGTGTGAGAATTGAGCGAAGAACAGATTGGGAGATGTTTCTTGCCAAAATTTTAAAAACTTTTCAAAGCTGTACTAAATTTTCTATGTTCTTTTATTTATGTGACCTACTTCATATATACATACACACCCTCATCGCCCTCTTCTTCATCATTTTAGGAAGCTTTATTACTACAGAATTTTTTTAACCAAATAATTAGAAAGTTGATTTTCCCTAATAATCAGGTAAAGCAATGAAAAGCTGACTCATTTAACATTTCTGATTGTAATTTTTCTAGGTTTCTATTGTGTTACAAACTAGAAAACTATTCTGAACTCACCATCAGGCATGATTTTATTTATTTTTTTAATTTTCAGTTACAGTTGACATAACATAATATCTTAGCTTCATGTGTACAACATAGTGCCTTGACCCCCCTACAAATGTCATAGAAGCCTCCCTCTGGGGCAACCTGTCTAACCTGGTTCAGATTAATCACCGGTGATATTTCTCCAGGATCTCTGTGGCAGGTAAGTTCAGGTACACCAGGCACATGGCATAAAAGTGCCACAAATAGAAACCATGGCATTTTGCATGAGTTAATATTCCTGTTACCTCATAGCCTCATGTCCCTCTGTACAGCTCAATTTATCATCTTCCCCAAATATGAGCAAATTAAGACATATAAATGACCCAAAATAATAGGTTTTTTTTTTCATTGCAACAGTTAAAATAAAAATTGAATGACTACTTAATGGGCCAGGGAAAGTGTCCCACAGTCTAGGGGCACCCCCGGGTCTCCCAGGAAAAGAGCAGCGGCAGCAGTAGGACTACACACAGGGAGAGTCTAGACAAGACCCCAAGGACAGCTCTGGGGGCCAAAACCCACTTTCTGCTCTGAGAGCTCTCCACTGCCCCCAGCCCTGGCGGTCTGCACTCTGGCCTCTCTTTGCTGAGATCCTCCTGGCCGGAAGATAGGAGCATCTGTCCTTGCTTCCAACTCTGTGCCGCCCAGATGCAGAAAGGAAAGAGGCAACAGTAGCCAGAGAAGGTCGGCATCCGGGGGAGGCAGCAGACCAGAGAACGGCCAGTGCCGGCCAGAAATAAATCTGCATAAGAAAGCTGCCAGCAGGCAGCTCAAGGCACCTATGCCACACACCGGCACAGACCCCTCTTAATAAATACCACAGTTAATGTGACAAGGTCACATAAGATGAAGAGATCACGATAGGAAAAGAGTAAAAAAAGGCACCCCACAGAATGAGAGCCTTTGGAGGAGGCACGCTGGGAGAGAAGTGGAGACGCAGGGGGCAGCCTGGCTGGCACTTCCACAAGGAGCTGGAGCGCCAGGCTTGTCCACGTCGTGGGTGCCACTCCCACTCCCACTCCCCTGGTGTTCACTGCACGCCCAGCACTGTCCTGAGGATGTTATACAAATCCATTCTCCTTAAACTTCACAAACCCAGCCTCCAGGACAGGCGGAAGACAGCCCTGGTGGATTCGGGCTCACCCCCCGGCCAGGTGGCCTCTCCATTTCTCAGTTCCCTTGAACGAGAAACGAGGTCATCGTGCCTCCCAGGATGGTTGTGAAGATGAGACATAATGAACTTAAGTGGCTACTCGCAGCTGCAATTAGTGTAATTAATCAGATTAAAATAGCCAGGAGTGATGAGCAGAAGAAAGAGTTGTAATTGAATAGAAATGGCAGCAGAGAGCCGTCACGGGAACCGGCCCAGAGCAGCCCTCCTGCGCAGGCTGGTGGCGAGAACAGAGCCCGCGTGCGGCCGCCACTCAGTGTGTCTGTGGGCAACACGGAAATGCTGAGTTCCAGTTTTCACCTCTCCAAACGGGAGTATTAGTATCTGTCCCTCCTGCCGGGCTGTGGTCTGCGGGATGGCTCCTGAGTGTATTGCCACGGAGGAGTTCGTGTGCATGTGCAGGCCCTTCACGCCCACTCACCCTATTTCTCAGGTGGAATAAAACACTGGTGATTAAAGATGGCAAAACATCGAGTAGCAGGTGCCTCCTGTGGCCACCAGTAACAGGATCTAGTTAATTCAGTCTGACAGGGAAGGTTCCCTTCCCGCTCAGCTCCCCAAGTCACCCCTCCACCTGCCTGGCCTTCCCCCCACTGGCCAGCCTGGCCATCCCTGCAAACCCTGAAGAAAGCCTCCTCTGCGTGAGGAACGATCGCTGCCTCCCTACACAGCCATCCTTTCTCACTGTCTCACCCTGCTTAGCACTTGGCTTGTTAGGGTCACTGACATGTGCCCCAGCCTCCCGGCCGGCCCTACGCCGTGGGGGTGCAAGGCCATGGCCCTGTGGAGCCTGCCTCACCCGCACAGCGCTCCTCACCGGCAGGTGCGGGTACACGGCTGAGAGCACTTACATCCTTCCGACCTATTAACTTTGGAATCATCACGACAGAGGTTGACATATCTTCAGACAAAAAAGTAAAATATAAAGTAAAAACAATGTCAAGCATCACCATCGTAACAAAAGATTGCAGAGCCGCCGGAGGGGAGGGAGAGAAGACATTCTGGGTCTGCTTTCCAAATGAGAGTCAAAGGCTTTCGGGAAGCGGTCGATTATTTTAAAATATGCATCTGGCCGCCCTGGCCTGTCCCCCAAAGCGCTTCCTGGGGAGTCTAAGCCTCAGCCCGAAGCAGGGAGCAGAGTGCGCGTCGCCTCTCGCTCCTCCGCGTCGGGCGCCGGGCAGGGGCCGTGCGGGGCCGTCTCCTTCCAGCATCCGGCTGTCCCCGTGCAGCCTCCAGCCTGCGCCTCGCCCCCAGGGCGGGTGCGCCGAGGCTCCCGCAGCTCGCAGGTCTGGCCTCGCGGGGGACGGTCGCGCCGGCTAACAGGCAGAGGCGAGCGGCCATCCCTCAGTGTGGGGGCTTCTGCTTGGGCTACTGCCAGGCCGATGCCCACTAAGAAACCAGAGCAGGACACTTCCTCCCTGGCCCTTCCTGACCAGAGCTCTTCCACCAGCCGCCCTGCCCTCGTCGGTGGGGAGGGGACCCCGAGCAGAGGTCAGCTCCCCGCGCCCCCCTCGCCCCCGCCCGGGCCCAGCGCGCTCACCAATCTTGGCCAGGGAGGCGAGCAGGATCCACAGGGTGATCTCGAAGGGGATCTGCACGTGCGGGTAGTCCAGGGTGAACACGGGCAGCCGGCTCTCCTCCAGCGGCGTCGTCCCCGGAGCCACCACGCTCGCGGGGCTGGGCGGGCTGGCGCTGGTGCCCACGGCCCTGGCGTCCGGCAGGGTCTCGGCCAGGGCGCCCGCGGGCCCCGCTACCTGCAGGAGCAGCAGAAGCAGCAGCGGCGCGGGCGGCCCCGGCCAGCGCCGCCCGGTGCCCGCCGGCTCCATGGGCCCCGCGCGCGGCCCCTCGGCGCTCAGCGCATCGCGCCCTGAGACGCCGCCGGCCAGGTCTCCGCAGCTCCCGGCTCGGTCCCGACGCGAGCCCTCGGCCACCCTCACCCGCCCTCCGCCCCCGGTCGCCGGCCCGTGCCCGGCCCCGGCTCGCCGACCGCAGCTGCAGGCGCGGCCCCGGGCGGCCCGCGGGCGGGGGCGGGGCGGGCGCGGCGCCCTGGCGGCGGGGCGGGAGGACGCGGGCGCCCGGCTGGGCACCGCGCACCTGGCACCTGCCCGAGCGCGCGGGCGACGGGGCCCCGGTGGCCGCGGGGGCGGCAGCTGCGTCCCCCTCCGGCCGCCACCGCGCGCCGGGACCCGCCGCCCCGGAGCCTCAGAGCCGCGGAAGGGGTCGCCGCGCCTGGCGCACGGTGGCCGCAGCTGTCCCCGCCCCGGAGGCAGCGTCGGGCGTCCATCCAGTGGAGGGGCCGGCGCGACCCACGCGTGGCGCCCTGTCCCGCGCCGGCTTCTCCGAGGGGACACCTGGCCCGCAGGGCGCTTGGGGGCGGCGCCTCAGTCTCGGGGTCAGAGGGGACGGCGGGCGGCGCAGGTGGGGGCGCTACCCCTCAGCCCCGCGCCGCGGCCCTAAGCCCGCTGCGGAGCTTGGGAGTGGCAGGGGGAGGTGGGGAAAGCCTCACTTTGTCCCCCCACCCCGTCCCCCAAGAGTCATCGGATCTCGTCAAGGACTTTCTGCTCCTCGACTTCCCGCGGGACTCAGGGTCCCCCGCCCCCACCGAGCCCCCCAGCCCCCACCGAACGCGCTCCTTCCCACCGGAGCTGGCTGCACGCTGCGTGCCCTTCCCTCTCCCTCCCCGGCGCGAAATAGAAACATCTTCCTCTGTTTTCAGGGTTAGAGGTGCGCATGTCTGGGAGCCACAGAAATGTAATTATTTCGTGGAAAACCGGTGGTTTGCCGGCTTAGCCTAGCTTGACCCGCTGCGCTGATTACAGGGCGGCTGCGGCGCGGAGGGAGGAGAGGAAGCGGTTCTCCTGGACCGAGAGCGTCTCTGGCAGCGCAGCCCCTTCCAAGGGCGTCGGGGACACCGCCTGCGCCCTCAGCCCCGGCGTCTGAATCACAAGAGCGGAAAGGAGCACACACGCAGAGCCGACTCAAGCCACTGAAACAATGTTCCCTTTCAGATTCGGCAAGACAATCTGTCTCTTTTCTGAAAGTTTTAATGTGTCAAAATATGGCTATTAAACCCCTGGCAATTCAGCATTTACAGGGTGTGTGTGTGTGCACGCGCGTGTGCGCGAGTGTGTGTGTGTGTGTGTGTGTGTGTGTGTGTGTGGTGTTCCCCAAAGTTCCAGCAGGGCACCGTGAGCTGTCAGCAGAGCGCACTTGAAAACTGAGCCGAGACCTAACAGAAGCCTGGAAGGCACAGTCCTCTTTGGACTTGAGAGTAACGCGGGGCCAGGGCCAGGTGAAACGGGAGAGGGCTCTGGGAGAGGGCAGGCACTCAATTAACATTTCATAAAGCGCCCGTGTTTCAAAGGAGCGCCATTGCAGGGTAAGGATGTGTTAGCTTCTTAAAAAGAACCAGCGAGCTGCCTCTCTGTTCACCGGCAATGCCCACGGAAGACACGTGTTGAACATTTCCTTGTGAGAAAGGAAATAATTACTTTTTAAAAAATTGCATATCTGTGCAAGGAACTTGTATTTTTGTTAATTAACACACAAAAAAACAGAGATACAGACATTATTGTGCCCATTTAGTGAAGAATTATAGATGCAGAAGTGTTTAAAAACAAGCAAGCAAGCAAGCAAGCATACAGACTCACCACATTGACAAGCCCGGCAGGGTCCAGGAGGCTTCAGGTCCAGGCCCCTAGGCTGCCAGGATTCCAGCCCCCTCCGCCCCCCAGACGAGGTGCGAAAACAGCCCGTTATTTCTCAAGTGCTTTTCAATGGGATAGTGGAGGATGTTTTAGGGATTGTTCACAAAAGCAAAGTTTTATTCAGAGTAAGCAAATTAGGCCAATTCTACAACTTTAGTGAAACAATCAATAATAGAGCAAGGGTAAATTCAGACAATAGTTTCTGGGAGTTTGAGTCACAGAACACTTTTAAAAATGAGTGCACCATAAACAAGAAAGTGAGTGACAAGTCTATATTTCTGGGGCCTTCCTGCCCACAGTAGCAGTAGAGATGCTAGACTGCAACATTACTTTAACTTCATGAATCTACTAGAGGCCCGGTGCATGAAATTCGTGCGGGGGGGGGGGGCGGGGCGGGTGTTCCCCTCAGCCCAGCCTGCACCCTCTCCAATCTGGGACCCCTTGGGGGACCCCACAGGGATCGGGCCAAAACCGGCAGTCGGACATCCCTCTCGCAATCCTGGACCACTGGCTCCTAATCGCTCACCTGCTGCCTGCCTGGTCACCCCTAACTGACCCCCGCTGCCAGCCAGGTTGCCCCCAACTGCCCCCTACCTGCCGGCCTGGTTGCCCCCCAATTGCACCCCTCCGCCGGCCTGGTCGCCCCTAACTGCCCCCCATGCTGGCCTGGTTGCCCCCAACTGTCCCCCTGCTGGCCTTGTCACCCCTCATGGCCCTCCCGCCAGCCTGGTCGCCCCCAACTGCCCCCCCTGCTGTTCAGCCTGCTGTTCAGTCGTTTGGTTGTCCCTCACTAAACCCCCTGCCGACCTGGTCGACCCATGCAGCCTGCTTGTTCAGTTGTTTGGTCGTCCCTCACTAACCCCCCTGCCAGCCTAGTCGCTCCTAACTCCCCCCCCCCCCCCAGCTGGCCTGGTCACCCCCAACTGCTCCTCTTTGCTGGCCTGGTTACCCTTAACTGACCCCCCTGATGGGCTGGTCACCCCCAAATGCCTCCCCTGCCAGTCTAATTCCCCCCAACAGTCCCCCTGCCAGCCTGGTTGCACCCAACTGCAACCCCTGCCGGCCTTGTCGCCCCTCATGGCTCCCCACCTCTGGCCTGGTCGCTCCACGCAGCCTGCTGTTCAATCGTTTGGTCGTCCCTCACTAACCCCCTGCCGGCCTGGTCGCCCCACGCAGCCTGCTGTTCAATCGTTTGGTCGTCCCTCACTAACCCCCTGCCGGCCTGGTCGCCCCACGCAGCCTGCTGTTCAATCGTTTGGTCGTCCCTCACTAACCCCCTGCCGGCCTGGTCGCCCCACGCAGCCTGCTGTTCAATCGTTTGGTCGTCCCTCACTAACCCCCTGCCGGCCTGGTCGCCCCACGCAGCCTGCTGTTCAATCGTTTGGTCGTCCCTCACTAACCCCCTGCCGGCCTGGTCGCCCCACGCAGCCTGCTGTTCAATCGTTTGGTCGTCCCTCACTAACCCCCTGCCGGCCTGGTCGCCCCACGCAGCCTGCTGTTCAATCGTTTGGTCGTCCCTCACTAACCCCCTGCCGGCCTGGTCGCCCCACGCAGCCTGTTCGGCCATCCGTTCGGTTGTTTCAGTTGACAGTCGCTTAGGCTTTTACATATGTAGATACTGTTAGGTCGCCCACGGAGGAACGCACGAGGCCAGAATGGTGAGGGATTAGGAATTTATTCGCTCATTCACACATCAGGTGGCTGAGCCTGGATGGCTCCAGCACCCCAGTGACGGGAGCCGGCAGTTTTTAAAGGACTTTTGGCGGGCTGTTTCTGGGCGGAGAACTCTCTGTGCAGGTCTGGATTCTGGGCAGTCGGAGGGGAGAGACAATGGTCTTAGCAAGTGGACTGTGGTCTAGGCAAGTGCAATGTCCATTGTGAAGTGGCCTAAAAGCCAGTTCCCAGGGGAGGGGCATTGATTCAATAGTTCGATCAAACCTAACATTCCAGCCTTTTTGTTTTATGGAATAGGGACGAACGTCAAATCTTCTGTAATTACTTCCTGCTGAGTCTGGACGTTGAGATCACAGGGGTTGGCCTTTGAGTGTAGTCAGCTGGGATGTTGAATAGATTCCTCCTGGTGGAGCGAGGGGTCGCGGCAGCATCATCTCCCCGAGAGACAGGCTGGTGAAGCTTGAAAGCCGTCCTGAAGGAAAGATGGAAAATGGCGCAGAATACACGGGTCAAAAACGAGGATGAGGAAGAGGAATGTTAGTGGTCCTATGAAGGGAAGTAGATGCCAATTTATTTCCTTTAGCCAGCAGGCCCATGAATTTGATTGCCGTTCCCTGATCTTTGCGGCATCCCTGACGAGGCCAGACTGATGGTCACAGAAACAACATTCTTCCTCCAGAAAGAGCCGCAGGCCCCCTTTCTCCGCCGTTAGGAGGCCTAGTCCTCTTCTGTTCTGGGGGTGACAGCGGCCAGTGAGGCTCTCTGATCCTGAATGGGAACTAAGCTTTTGGCAATGTCATCTAGGCTTTCTTGTAGGTTCTGAGACAGGATTTCAAAGTATGTTGAGCAGTGGTCAGGCCCCTGCTGTGATGCCGAGGGTTATGAGGAGAGGGATTATCTGGACTGCCCTTTTGTGTCGGACATGGTGGGTTACGGGGACAGGGAAAGACTGGTTATCAGGGGGCTACGTCTACGTTGGGTGAGAGATAGATGACTGTACAGGTTTCTGTCCAGTTGGTGGGGAGACAGGTGTACGTGTTCTCCCCACAGAGGAAGGAAAATCCCTGATCATGGAGACAAGCTGAAAGGTATAAGGAGAAGAGGTGACTAAAGGGTATGAGGTTCCCTTTCCAGGTTCCACACTCCAAGCTGAGAGGGTGGTTGCCATGGCACTACCATTAAGGGGTGACAGATGAGTGGTTGAGATTCCATTGCAGTGAAGTGGGAGGGATTCTAGGATGGGCTGTTACCCAAGAGAAAAGCAAAATGGAGGGAAAGGGGCAGTGGAAGCCTGGGACCTGCATGGCTGGATACGAAGTAAAAGGACTGGCTGTAGGAAGTAACCATTGGCTTCCGGGGGGACCTGGTAGTCAACCCACTGGGACCAATGCCGTTTGGTAGTTCTAGGTTAACTGTGGTGTTGCAGGCTGATGATGGGAGATGGCCTTTTGTTGTATTGCCCTGTGACCTTGTAAAGCATAAAGGGGCTTGGATGATTGGTGGGGTGTGCAGAGTGTTAGGACCTGTGACGGGAGGGAGGAAGGAGCTGCCTTAGTAGGAGATTGCATGTAAGTACGGTGAAGGAGGGAGGCGTGATTTGCTTGGGCTGTAGGATAATTACCTAGAAG